CAAGGTTCGCAATACCGTACCGTACCGGTATTTCGACCTGGGCTCGGTACCGGTACGGTACGGTGTACCGAGCGGTACACCCAGGTGTACCAAGCGGTACACTCAGGTGCACCGAGCACTGTTGCACTGCTACAGTGCAACAGTGTACTGGTGCACTGTATTGCTACTGTAACAGTGCAGTGCATTGCTACAGTGCTGCATTTCACTGCTACAGTGCAGACCGATACTGGGTGGTCTGCGTACCGCTGGCCTGTCGGACCGGTACGTACCGCCCATACCGGGCGGTACGATTCGATATGGTAGACCTTGTATATATATATATATATATATATATATCGGTATGCCAGAGCATATCGCTCGGTACGCTCATACCGTATTGTATCGAGCTAAGCTCGATACTTTGGTATGGTACGAAATTGCGAACCTTGCTTCAAATGACATCAATTAAAAAGTTGGAACTGCATCGACACAATCTTAAATTACATAAGCAGCAATTGGACCATAAAATCTTAAATTTTATAACAAAAAGCCAAACAATAAACCTCTATGCAAGAATGCCATTGAAGGGTGCCCTGAACTGAAGAAGAGTTCCAGATCAAGATGTGTTACGAATGTCATAATCTTAAGCTATCTAGAATTAAGTTGCCTAGGTAATCAAAATTCCTGTAGTAAAATTCTGTTAACGATAACAGACTGATGAGAGTGCAAATCAGCTCTTCGATTGCACAAAATATCCAAACACATAAATTTTATCACGAGAAGAAGAATTGTAAATGATATGATCCATTCATAAAATATATACAAGACATTCATGAAAGGAACAGTCATCAACCTAGGAAATGAGGAGAATAAGAGTCAAGCCTATGGATCAAACAACCAAAATCAGATATGCAATGGAGTAGTGTCAAAATGCTACAATGAGTAGCCTGAATAGACTTTGTCAATGATCATTTATACATAATGGGAAAAAGTAACTCTAATGGAAGAGCACATATTACATCTAAACCAACTATTGCAGGCAGTTGATGGGAGAAGAGCTTTCTGGCCTGAGCATCAAAGATTTACATGATTTAGAGAACCAACTAGAAATGAGTCTACATGGTATCCGAACAAAGAAGGTCAGTAGTCTTTGCAACATTAAATGTCTCTTTTCTTTCGGCATTCCTAATGCTGTAAATTTCTGTTCTGCAGGATCAACTTTTGACGGACAAAATTCAGGAGCTCAAATGGAAGGTTGTGCAGAAATTAAAACCCATCCTTCTCTGTTTAAGTTCAGATTGCAGCTAAGATGCTTAACTATTTATTCAATGGAAACCTTACAGGGGAACCTCATCTACCAAGAGAATATGGAGCTCCACATGAAGGTAAACCTCCTTGATCAAGAACATATGGAACTACATAAGAAGGTACATTAATTAGAAAGCTGGTAGACATACACACTCAATCTAAAAACTCCATCAACAATCTTGTGGAATAACAAAAATTAATTTGTCTTGCACAAACTAAGCACTCAATCTTCTACAGGTTTATGAAAAAAGGGTAGACAATGGTGACAATAGAGACTCAGCTATTTCATATGGTTTCGGCATTGCGGAGAAAGCAAATGCATCCAATCATCTTGAACTAAATAGGCCACAACACCAAGCCAACAGGGAACAAACTGGAACATCACGGCTATGGTAACCTTTCTTTCCAATACAACAACCTCACAGGTATCAAAACCTAATGTTAACTGTACAATGTTCAACTGGATTTGTGGCAGTCTTGGATTGCATTAAGGAGATGGTTCAGAAATCAGGGTTGGGTGTGTGCACTTCCATCATAATCATCTGAAGAATTCAACAATGTCATTTGATCAATCACATTTGGTGTTTAAGGAGGAGAAGCATCAATTGTAATTATGCATATCATATGACAGTAAGGTAAGCTTTGGTATTATGGTAAGAATGTTGATATACAACTTAGGTAAGTAGGGTAAATCATAGGAACAAACTCTCTACTTGTAGGGGTAAGGTTGTGTACATTGGCTCTTTTTCAGACTTCACAATGATAGTAGCCTCATGAACCAAGCTACTTTTTATATTATTTAATTAGAACTACCTATTTTTAGCAATTTAACAGAATAAAGTGGTGAAGACGAACCATGTAGTTAAGTTTAATAATTTTGGAAGTCGCTAGTTTGCTTTCTCTTTTTCTCCTCCAATTAAACAAGACAAATACCACAAAATACCAGTTCAGATTGCCACAATAAAAGAACATTAGTTTTTGAATGTTTCTAGAAATTGAACAAGTAAAAGCTTGGAACACAATTTCACGGACAACATTAGTCATCAAGCACCATGAACACAAAAAGAAGAAAGTGAGAAAGTTTGTTTACAAAATAAAGCGCAGCAAGAAGTGTTTAATAATAGTTCAATCAGACAAAGAGAAGAAATTAACAGAAGGCTAGGTGGCAACCTTGCTGGATATAGGCAATCCAGTCAAGAAGACTCTGAAAAGCAGTTGTCAGCTTTCACAAGAGAAATGCCAGGTCCTACCCACAAGAAGGAGACCTAACAGATTTTTAGGCATGTTCCACTAATCCTTTAAAACAAATTAAAATTTAATTCACCCAACTACTTACAAAAGTTATTGAAATGTTGGAGCTCAAAAAGGGGGAAAAAAAACCCAATTAAATTACTCGTCCAGTCAGCAGTCTTATCGGCCTCCCCGAGAATGTGCCCAATATTAAAATCTAGAAAGCTTTTTACTGAAATCATTTTAAATTTCAATGGTATCTAAGACAATCCAGGGATGTTCAGAGTCTTTCACCCTGGAGATAGGAGATAAGTGACATGGATGCACCAACAACTGATTCTCTTGTGCCTAGTTCAACAAGTAAAACTCTCTGAAAGGTAAAACTATTTCATTCATCCTCCTTGCTTTATATAGAACAGAAAAACATTGTCCTGTATTGAGATCACCACTAAGAAAGGTATCTTTATTGTGTCATGTAAATCACTAGTCACAAATAGGATCCACGTATATGAAAAAAAACATGTGCCAGGATTCAGTAATTTCCATGCTTGAACAAAAAATTAAGGAATATTTCTATATTAAATGCATGAGGACCATTTGCATTATAAGCAGGATTATGAACAGAGCATCACAATTCACAATACCTGATAGGGCATATTATGGATTCTGACAAGTGGACACGACCCCCACCACATCAGCCCAAGTGCGGAGCCTCGGGAGGCAAACGCAGCGCCACGTCGGATGCGTCACCAGAAATCCAGGATGGCGGTTGTTCACCTCCCGCGCCGTCTGGGGCCGCACCAACCAGCGTTGCCCCAACAAGGACCGCTTTGGGAAGCTCGGAACGGCACCACGTGACGCCATTCCACATATCCTGGGCGACGAACGTTCGAAGGTACACTCGCCTCTCGGGGAGTCAGCCGCCACGCGAAGGCCGCATACGGCCGACCCTCGGGCACTATGGTAAAAACCCCTTGCCAACATATGACAAGGGACACTTGGGACAATAGAATTCCACTAACTTGATCTTGAGGGGCCTAAGTCGAGATCCCCCTCCCCATCCCGACCTAAGCTAGTGTGCAGGAATCCGACGACGACAAAGGCGGACGGGCTCGTTGAAGAGGCGCATCCCAACCAAATCTGAGCTCAACCCGATTAGGCGAAGACCTCGTCCCCAAGATGGTCCTGGACATCGCCAATCGAACCAAGCCGTACTGACCCCACGGCCACGGCATAAGGTTCACCAACAATACCCTTGACATGACAATGCAGTACCAGCGCTTAGGATAGGTGCTTGCAGGAACCACGCCCTAGGTTAGTGCAACTGAATTCCCAGTTGCACTGTACAGTATCAGCCATTCCTTGGCAACACATGTAGTCCATAATGCTCATTATGTTTTGGTCCACCCTCAAAGAAATTGGACTGCCTAATCTTTCTTCCAGAAGCTGACCCCTTCACAGCTTCCCCAATGTTTTAAGAGAATACAAATATGGTAAGCTTCTCTTATAGGAGAAAATTATGCAGTATAGCAGGTCTTTTATGGCTTAGATATTTCCTGGTCTACCATGAGACTGAAAGAATAAGGGCTTATCTAGTGCACGAGGCTCCTGCCAATACGTGGTCTGGGGAAGGTTAATATATGCAAGTAGTTTCCATGATTTGAGTCCTAGTCTCCTAGGTCAAAAAGGGGCAATTTCACCATTGTATCATAAGGAATCTACAGCTACATAAAAGTTATAATTTTCAGCTTCATACTACTAAAATTTACACATATTATCCAAGTTAAAAATTGATTGCTAACTACACCAAAAAAATTACAATATTTTATGAAAAAGTTCAATATTTCAGAGGCTTCTAGCAAGCTCAGCAGCAAGCCTGATGGGGTCATCTAGAAACATATCCAATGTTAGCCAGGGCCTTTGCAATAAGAAATTATTAAAAAGGACTCCCAAAATATAATCTAAGTTTGTGTTTTCGTGTATTCTAACTATCAGAAGCTTTAAAAAATATAATTCTTTAATAATGGTAGACACTTCATGTTTATGCATATCTGATGGGAAGAAATGTAACTGAATATTCATTAATGTAGTCAGAACCTTGGAGGTTGCACATTTTTCTGTTACTGTATTTCACGAAAAATATTGAAACTTTGAGTTTATACTAAACTTGGAAGTACTTATTGAGAATAAAATAGCAAAGAACAGCTTCTAGGACTTTTATTATAGAGAAAAACACTACAAGTCAATATTCATTGATGATTTTAAAATCATAAATCAAGAGACAATTAAACTTATAATTTAAGAAGTTACAAATAATGATTTAAAATATTTCACATAAATTTCACAAATAGAAGTCAAGGAATATAGACATACCATAGAACTTCCTGCAAGTTATACAGTTGTTGCCTCAAGCTAGTTACATCCTCTTATCATAACTAGACAAGCAATCAACCAAATTTAGATACATGACATAGATAAAGTGCAAATGGCATCCTTATGAAAAAACACTGTTTCTAAGTTAAGCTATAAAATCTAAGTGCTCATGACAAGTCAAATGTAGACAATAATTTACTAAAATAAGTAAAGAAAATAGACATGCTTACTAAGGTTTTCTATTAAGATAATTAGTCAAAAAACAAAGAGCAAATCTGACAGACTTAACGGGGATTTTCTTGACATTTCCTAGAGATATGTACAATTAAATTATAATTGTATTGAGAGGACTGTGGCCTCAAACCTGTTACTTCGAAACTATTCATGAAAGCTTCAAATGAAAGATTGACTCCATTGAGCATAATATACAGCAATCATGAGATGAAGAATCAAACTTGTAAACAATATAACGTTTGCACCATGGACAAAAGAAGCAATTGTGATGGCATAAAATGTATTTTGATTTGATAAATAGTAAAATGTATCAATACTAGTTGAATATTGGCACACATTCATCGGTTAATTTATTTTCTCATTAACTAAATTTTCTAGGTCAGATATTCATGAAAGAGTGCTGTTTACGCTGTTCCCCTTTTCATAGTTTGACAAAGACCCAAAACATATCTAAATCATATGAATTTTAGTTCCTAAATATATTGCACGTTAGAAATCATGTTCAATGGGACTGAGAATCAGTTGGACCATAAGTTGCTACATAAAATACATAGCAAAAGGTATACTAAAAGATTTATTTTATCAGTTACATCATTCTGGACGTATATGTATGCCTACCCAGAACTTCAGTTTTTTCAGGGGATTGTAATACTTGATGCAAATTTGATAACAAGAAAAAAAAAAGAGCCCTTACGCACAAAGGACTCCACAACATGCTACCCTCATTTACATAATTTTAGTGCGTAACCTCATCCATCAAAGAACAATGATATCCACGCCATTGAGCAGCGATGGCGCAGATCCTACAATGCGAACACTAAAGTACTCCCCGAACTGTTATCGACCCTAAAATAACTCAAAAAGGAAAAGAAAATAAATAAATCAAAATAATGGCTTTGTATCGCAACCCACAAGAGATCATTGAGGAAATGTACAAAACTTCAATCATCAGGAAGGGGATCGGGGGAGAGGAGATCCGCTTCTCACCTCAGTTTCCACCAGCACGGCGTCCGCTCGTCTACGAGCAAACTCACAATTGAATCAAGAGATCAAACTCGAGACGGGTGCAAGAAGCGAAAGAAGGGTGGAGGAAGCAGATGGGTTTGGCTCTGGCAATTGCAACGATAAATATCGTCTCCTTCTCGAGGAGGCGCATAATATAATAAGCAAAAGAAAGGCGAAACAAAGGGCTTAGCATAGATCCACGTCTCCGCCTCCAATAATATATGTACTTCCGGTGCTTTTTATGTATCCATGCACTATTCGTTAAACACACCAATTAGTCGATCGATCAACCAATCGGTCGGCACGTTACATCAAGGCATATGTTCCTTTGGATATAAACAAGGGAGACAACTGGGCTTAATCACAGCCGTCCACGTAGTTTGGTTGATTACTTAAATACTGGCCTCATGATATAAAGAAATATGTTCCATTAGATACAACACGGGGGAGATCTGGCTTTATCGCAGCCGTCCACGTCGACTTGATCACTTGGTTACTGGAGACGTCACACCAAGACAAGTTTATCCTCCCTCGAGTAGAAACAATGCGGGAGAATTGGACTTCATCACTGCCGTCCACGTGGTGCGGTTGATTCAATCGATCTCTGGAATCGCGACAGCACGATGTGTTCGGAGAAAAGGGTGACACGCCGTATCCTTTTTTCCTAATTCTACCCATCTCGGCTACCTATCCTGTGACTGGAGGAAGAAGCAGAATTTGGTGGGTCCCTATTGTACGGTCGGGGTTAGATTATCTGCGATCGCAGTAGAGGAGGTTTTTATAATAACTAAAATTTAGAGAAACAAATACAAAACTGGAAAAGAGAGGGGTTTGCAACCCTAAACGGGACGCGAACGGCTCTGCCCTCGTTGAACGATCTCGTCCGCCTCGAGTCTCTCCGTCGCGCTTCGTCTTCGCATAGGTTGGTTCTCTCCACGATCTCATCATCTTCTTGTCCTGCGTCAGTTATATGCGTCTTTAGATTGCAGCAAATTGAATGAAACCTGAACCTCTTTAGCGTGCATGTTTTGTTCACTGAATCCTTTGATTTTATTTGCCTGTATTTTCTTATCCAATCTTGATGCTCTTCTTCTCGCTCACTGTTTACCCTATTGGCACAAATATTAGAACTTTTTGCTCATACACATAATTGAAGAGATGCTGTGTGTGCTAACTAATATGTTCATCACTTGTTCCATTTCTTGGCCAGGAGAAAGCGGCAATCATGGTCAAATTGAATCTTGCTGCTGAAGTTGTATATGATCCTTCAAATTCTCGTACTTTTAAATCTCGTTCCGGATCGTATGCTAATGAAAGACGGAACTTCGTGGTATGACACGATTCTCTTGTTCTGAATACTGAAAAGAACGTTAAATGCTAATTTAGATGCTCTTTTTAGGAGTTGATGATTGTAAGAGTTATCTGTTCTTGAATATTCTTATGCTTCATCAACTATTCCAGTGAGAGTAATTGGTGATGCACCAAATATAAACCTTAAACTAACTATATTGTAAGTCTTCTATCTACTTCTATCAAGATTCATCATTTAAATTTTCAATTAGATTTCATGCATTTGTGCTTTCTAAGGTTCATAGGCATTGTTTAATTATAGACAAGTTGGGGTTCGTACTATGTGTAGAAAATGTTGTTTTTGAAGCATTTAGTGAGCTATAATGAGTGAAACAAGGGGTCTCATGAATTGATATTAAAATTCTGATTTCCTTCGAGCAAATATTACACAATTTTTGGTGTATTTTATGTATGACCTTCTTTTCTTGAATAACTTCATAATTCAATTTTAGATGTGACTAAAGTTTGCATCAATGATTCTTTTCTTGTTGCTTATAATGGTCAAATGTAGAAGCCAGCAACATTGTTACTAGTATATGCAATTTCATGCATTAATCATGTTCACATATACAATCCCAATTATTAATTTATTCTTTTACTATAATTTGATTTCTTCTGCAGTCAGGAAACCTTGCAGATATGTACAGGAAGCCGATATCTAAAGAATCTGATGATCAGTCAGACAGTGAGAATGAGAAGATGGACATTAGGAAAATATTGAAAGATGTTGAATACTTGGGTATGTAGTTTTATAACTTCAAAATTAAATAATGTAGTTTACTTCTCAGATCTTTTATGAGGATAATCGTGTGTCGGTGAGACACTGGAATATTTTAAGTGGAACTTTTGCATGTATATATAGCTAGCTTTTAAGCTCCAGTAGAAATTATTTGTGAAATATATTTCCACATGTGATTTTGGTTGGGCATGTATTCAATTTGTATTTTTTTAATTTGGTAATAAGCTTGGTGACAAGATAATTTTTTGTTGGCCATTTTGACAAAATTTTGGTGATAAAGCTTTTAATAAAAATTAAATAGACACCTCAGCAAAGTCACCTAGGTAAATTTTATATTTATTTTGTCAATGCAGATAATTTTGTTGCTAATATTCACTTCATTTTTGTGTTATTTGTTGAAATATTCTTCACCTAGTGCTTGTGGAAACATGAGTTAGTTGATTCTTTATCTTCTAGATTTTAAAATTTAGAGCTGATTTTTTCTTCTTTAATGATGGTATTTTATCCTATCTTCTCTCCTCTGAAGTGGGAAAGTTTTTATTTAGAAATGCATATTTCAGAGTCTACACCTATGCTTATTTAGATTTGTGTTAAATTTTAGCTTTTCATCGGAAACAACAATGAGAAGAAATAATTTTATCTGAGATTTGAAACCTCATGGTGATGAACATAGGTCTGACTATGACAGGTTGGGGCATCTTGGGGATCATAATGTCATGGTGTCATCCTTTTCGCCTTGTATGTCTTGATCTAAGAATGTACATCTGTAATTGATCTTTTTCTGAATTGAATTACATATGCCATCTTGGGGATCATAATGTCATGGTGTCATCCTTTTGGCCTTGTATGTCTTGATCTAAAATATACATCTGTAATTGATCTTTTTTTTAATTGAATTACATATGCCTTATTATTGCATAGATCTGAGTAAATGTATAATGGTCGATAAAAGTTCATATAGATATGTGTGTTTCTGGATTTAGTTCACTGGGAAGCTGTTAAAAAATCTTGATATGTTGACCAAATTAAGAATTTACATATTTGCTATTGTAAGATAGGCTGCTACCATGTATAGTCATGCTTCTAGTAGTTCTGAGTCTTGCCAGTAAACTTCAGTAATTTGAAAAGATTAATAAAATGTTTTGATTAGGTATATAACGCAGATGAAGTATTGTCAAGTAGAAAATGCAATTTAAGAATCATGAGTTTGACCTTATGTTTCCAATAGATCTTGTTCTTGCTCTGGGTTGTGTGCTTACATCTGGGCTTTTCTTTACCCTGTTTGTCTTATTATAGAAAACAGATGTCTGATATTACTTTTACCCTTCTTGACTAAAAGTGTCCTGCTCTACTGAGTTGTGCATAGAGTTGTTAGTTTCAGGCTGGGTTACTATTGATCAGCGGATAATTTTGAATCTGCATATTTAGTCCTTGAATTGTCATTGCAGCTTTTTTAAATAAGAAGTTATTTTTCCATCCTATGCTGTAATTTTTACTTTTGCTGCTCTTGTGTTTCGTTAAGGTGCATCAAATATGTCGTGGAAAGAGAGGAAACAGCATGAGAACCGAAAAGTAGTTAGTTTAGGTGGAAAGGTAAGAACATATCAGACATCTAGTTGTTTCGTTAAATATCTGTGACTTCATTGTCTTCTGAACAGCCTCCTAAAAAGCATCGAACACCGTTAAGTGTGGCAAAACCAGCTATGAAAAATCAGAAGAAAAGAGAAGAGAAGAAAAAGGAAGAGGTGGTCTTTTCTTTTTTCAGTATATTCTCTGTTTGACCTAATGGGATTCTGATTCATAAGTGATATTTTTAGGAGCTGATTCTTGGCCGATTTGCGCTGAAGAGTAACAGTAAAGCCAGGAAGCCAAAACCAGAGGGCAGGGGGTTGAAAGCAACCGAGGGACATTTCAGGAAAGGCGTTCTGAATGTCAAGCATCTTTTGGCTCCCACCACATCCAAAAGTAGCACTTTTGACAACAAGAAGGGGAAGAAGAAAGTTACGGGTAAGAAGAGTAAAAGAAAGGGACGTTGATTGAATGTGCTAAAAAATTTTGTTGTGCCAATCATGTCATGCAAGGAATTTTTTTTCTTTCATATGTCAAGGATTGCAAGAAGCTGTTCATCATTTGAAGCTTTATGTACGTTGTTTTAACCAGAATCTAGTTTTATTGTAATTCTAGACATAATATATATGATTTCTTGGACAGGAACGTACAGGAAAATTCACCTAATATCTTTTTTCTGTTTCTGCAAATGCCGGTGCTGTTACCTGAGTTGTTATTTCTAAACTCTTTAAATGAAAATTGTTACTAGTTGTTATTGGCATCATCGAACTGTTTTTAATGATCACTTGATTGCTAAGGAAACTTCTCTGACATTTTTGCTGAATCATAATGTTCTCTTTATTTTCTCATTGCTGTGTTGAAAACAAACTCGTTTCCTCATCTGGTGAGCCTACAATTCAGGGGGTTGTCATAAAGTGTCTGAGATCCTGATACTGGCAGGAAATTAGATGTTTAACTAGAGTTGAGCATCGGATCAAGAAACATGTGCTGAACAACATGGAGGGTTTATCCAATGAAGAGAGCATGAAATGTGTTGTTTAGTTAGTATGTAGCACCAAACCAATGCTATTTCAACAGTAAGTGTTTCTCAATAATCCTTTGTGTATATTTAATAGTATCATTTGAGGTCCAGAAGTAAGGTTCAATCAATAATAAAAATTCATCAAAGTTAAGCTTGCAGTCGTTATGACTTAAGTTTAGCTGCATTGGTAAAAATTCATCAGAAAAACATTTCATCATTTTCTTTAAATTTGAATATGCTTATTTACAAAAGAAAATTAAAAACATGAAGATGAGTTCTTCTTTTCAACCAAGAAATAGGATAACTCGAAGAGTTCCGGGATCACATATTCTTCTCTCACGATGATATCATGATAGACAAGCAACCAATAAGAAGAAGTCCATCTGCCACCTGTCTATTGGATAGTGGACAGAGGTTGGGTGGCCAAATCACTTGGGCATTTTGAGGGGAGGCAAGCAAAAAGCAAGACCAATCTGAAAGCCGGAAAGGGGGAAGGAAGCAATCGCCGAAGTCAACAGCGAGCTCCATGGCGGCGACGGCGTTTGCAGCAGCGTCCCCTCCGGCAGCGGTGCTCTCTGGATCTCGCCTCCCCGCGCCCGCGCCCGGTTCAGCCTCTCACCGGGCCCCAGTCCTCCTCCTCCCGCCGCCGCCTCGCCGCTCCTTCTCGTCTCTTCCCATTTCTCTTTCCTCCTCCCAACCCCGTGGTATCCTCCTCCATCTTTGAGATTCCATCTTTAACCCACAAATTAGTACAGGTCCGGTGGTTGGGTAGGCAAAGAGGCATCGACTGATTCAGGTTCTTGATGGCAGCAGATCATTGCAGGTTCTCTTCGCTACGGGCGAGAGCGACTTCTTCATCGGAGGAGTCATCTGGGTCTGGTGATGAGCTGCTGGCTGATTTGAAGGAGAAAGTATGTCCTCACAGCTCCTGCATATTAGCATTCTTTAGCGATCCCTCTTCTCCCAATGGATTAACTGATGTAATTGTGATAACAGTGGGATTCGATCGAGAACAAATCTACTGTCTTATTGTATGGGGGTGGTGCAATTGTTGCGGTGTGGCTATCTTCCGTTGTTGTTGGTGCCATCAACTCGGTTCCTCTGGTACCAAAATTTCATATTGCCTGGATTCCACATTGCATACTTGTGTGAACTAACAGTGACTTGTGCCAGCATTGTTGAGCAGTAAAGACAGAAATGTTTGTGCTGTGGTTCCCTTTCTTGTCTTGAATTAGTATTTGTGACCTTATTTGTGAGATTTTTTTGTTATTCAAGACAAGAAATTTGTTGCTCTTTTTTTTTTCTGTCTAAAGTCATGATGCTTCAGTTGATGTAACTCAAAACTGTTCTCTTGTTCTTACAGCTTCCAAAGATCATGGAATTAGTGGGTCTCGGATACACTGGATGGTTTGTATACCGTTACCTACTTTTCAAGGTAAGCTTAAGATTTAGATGTTCTCAAGAATGTTCCGGTTTGAGTCAAACAATCCATCTTCTATAGCAGTTTCTGAGGCATTTGTCCTGTTAGATTTCCCAGTTTCACTGAGCATTGATGTAGTTGATGATTATAATTATCATTGAATTCTTTTGTATATTAGCCAATATGGCGATGGTATAGGACTTCAAAAGAGGTTCTACTAAAAGAATAGACATGAACATCATCTGTAAATAGGCTATATCGCAACAGCTAAAGTATGAAATATTTATTCATGTAAAATTTCATACATGTCTATTCTTCTTTTGGTGCTACGGAGGACAAGAGTTAAACCAAGTGAGATTTCTTATGTTCTCCTCGACCCCAGAATGTTCATGATTGATTCCTTTAAATGAAATCTGATGGAACATTCCCAAACGAAGATAACTGTATCGACAAATTTGTTCTTTCTGATTCTCATAAAGATGTATTATGCTTATAATCTTGCCCTTCTTATTCTTTGTCATCATTTTTTTGTTCCCTGACTAGATAAACTTGTCATTTGCAGGATAGCAGAAAAGAACTAGTCAATGACATTGAAGCTTTAAAGAAGAAGATTGCTGGAACAGGGGAATAATTGAGTAAGCCTGCAATCTCTTGGGATTATCTTGATGACCTGTATAGGATACACTAATATAGTATATTTATCAGTGTTGTATGCTATTTCTTGTATTGAGAAGTGTCCTCCTTGTAATGCCAGTAACTATTTGTGATCAGAAGTTTCCGTCAGGGAAAATAAAAGAGATTATTGTTTATCCAGTTATTGTTTTTTAGATCTTCCTTCCAACTCTTGCCTCTCTGACTTTTCTTACTTACATGGACATCTTCACTCTAATTGATTGTGTCAAAAACTTGATTTTGTGTTGTTTCTCGTCAATAAACCCTATGTTATTTATTTCTGCCTTGTTTTCTTGAAATATTAGTTTTGATAGACAACTAATTACTTACTTAAGAAAATAATAATAACTGAGGAGACTAAACCAACTTGAGTCACCTCAGGCACTTGATGCAAGAAAATAGATGTTGCTTCACCATTTTGCTGCATGGGTTAGGTTAGGATGTTTCACATGTACCCAAATTGGGTTATGTTAAGGTTAATCTAACTCAACCCTGCCGAAATCCTACGAAACTACATATTAGAATGTGCACGTAGTTATGATCAAAAGCATAAAACATGTATGATTTATAATGAATTACTTTCAAGTATCACACTCTTCTATATCTCTATTCTGTTCTTCAATTCTAGTAGAAACCAAGATCATGAAAGTACTATATGCATTCCTCATGCCTCATTGAGATGTCAAAAGTTAGGATATGAAAGCACACACGAAGACTATGTATAAACTGCTGAATAAGATAAATTTCTAGGGGAATGAGCAATGATACTATAACATCATCAAGTATGTAAATATCAAACTAATTACTCTTTGGTGTGTTTGATCCTAGATAAAAGCATCATCGAAGTACATGCATGGTCTTTTTTCTAAATCCATCAAGTATGCAAATGTCAAACTAAACAAGTTCATTCCTGAGATTTTGTTTCTAGGACTGCAGGAGAGGGTGCTGTAGTAGTAAAAGGGCTGTTGGCTCTTAGGCAACAATGAAAAGAGTTTCCATCATCTTCTGCTTCTTCTCAGCCTTCATCTTTGTTTTGTTGTTCTTGCATTGCTACTAGAGGTCTGCAGCCTATAACCTGTTGAAAGCATCTTCAAAACAAATCCACGATCCCTTTTTAGGACAAATAAATTCAGATGTATAAAGATCAGATAAATGTTCTTTGCAAATGCTTCATTCTAGTGGATACTATGCCGCACTCATCCCTAAACATTTTGATCACAGTCCAGACAATCTGAAAATCAATTAAGACATTGAGGTTTATTTATCTATGTAGGTAGTTCTTTCCTTGAGAGGTGAGATCATTCACATCTCTCAAAATCTCATCAAACAATATCATTAAATCTCCTCAAATTGAGGAACAATTTTACTGTGGTACCACAGACTTCTTTTTGTTATTAAAATTATTGGATAAATTTCAATAAAACTTCTCCTTTTAGGTATTTTTTTGAAAATCACTCCTCATTTTCAGAATTTCAAAATAATATTTTTTTACTTAATATCTAAAATACATCCGGTCATCTACCTATTTTTTTCTCTTTTTCTCCTTTTTTTTCTTATGGACCAATCTATGGGGTGAACTAATCTAGTTGCAGTATTTTTACATTGTGTTACAGTATTTTCAGAAATACCAAAAAAATATTGTAACACAGTACAAAAATATTATGTTACAGTATTTTTATACTGAATTACAGTATTTTTCTAGTATTGCTGAAAATAAAATTATTATGTTCTATATGTATATATATATGTATGTATGTATGTATGTATATATATATGTATATATGCATATACATATGTATATGTATATGTATATATACATATACATATACATATGTATATGTATATGTATATATACATATAAATATATATATATATGTATATATATACATATATGTATATA